AACAACAAGGAGTTCTGGTAGAAATAAGCTGTAGAATAAGCAGTGGACCACAAGGTCAGTTTGAATCACAAGGTGAGCATTCCAAACTCACCAGCTACTCCCTGGAAACCCTATGCAGGGATGCTACAAGTTGGAACCAACTCAATAGCACTTAACATCAACAACAAAGGATAAACTTAAGAAGCTCTGATAGCATAATGGGTTAAAAGAATTGGGCTGCTAGCTGGGGACTTTAGACAAAGAGAGGGAGAGAGGCTTGTAGTATATACCCTTTGGTTGGTTGATGATGCATAGAGGGGATTGTAACCATGGCAATGAAACACTATACGATAGGATGAATGTAAAACTAATGTTCTCCCATGTAAACTATCACATAATTTACAAGAAAACATTAAAAAAAAAAAAAAGAATTGGGCTGCTAACTGCAAGTCAGTGGTTCAAACCCTCCAGCCATTCTTCAGGAGAAAGATGAGGCTATGGATTTTTTTTTTTTTTTTAAAGGAAACTATTAGATTGGATCTCAGAAACCCTATGGAGCAGTTCTGTAGGGTCACTAAGGACTCAGAATCAACTTGATGGCAGTGGGTTTGCTTTTGTTGTTGTTGTTAAGAATAAATTAATGTTCCTTGGTGTCTTGTAGTGAATGATTTAATTTGGCCCTTCTAGCCATGATCTTTGTTGTTGTTGTTAGATGCCATCAAGTTGGTACTGAATCATAGCGACCTTATGCACAGCTCAACAAAAACTGCCTGGTCCTGGGCCAACCTCACTACTGTTGCCTTCTCCAGTGACTGGTCCCTCCTAACAATATGTCCGAAGTATGAGAGACGAAGTTTGGCCATCCTGGCCTCCAAGGAGCACTCTGGCTGCACTTCTTCCAACCCAGATCTGTTGGTTCTTTTGGCAGCCCATGGCACTTTCAATATTCTCCTCCAACACCTAAGTCCCATTGAATGACTATTCCGACCCACAGCGACCCTGTATAGCGTTTCCAAGGAGCAGCTGGCGAGCTTGAACTACCGACCTTGCAGTTCAAACAGCTTTGCAATCTAGCGCATTAACCCACAGCACCACACCATAGGACTATTTAAAAGTTAGGTGTATGTGGATTGGAAACATTACTATAATAATGTAAATAAGGTACATGGCACACTTTTTAGGGTGTGGTGGTTGTGTGCTGTGGAGTTGGTTCCGACTCATAGCGACCCTGTACAGGGTTTCTGAGGCTGTAAATCTTTACGGGAGGAGAAATCTTCACCTTTCTCCCATGGAACAGCTGGCAGTCTTGAACTGCAGCCTGATTCGTAACGACTACACTACCAGAGCTCCTTTTAGGGTGGGACCATGCAAATAAAGTATAGGAAACACTAACGTGAGGACTGGTTAGTTGGCCATCCCACTAAGCTTAACATGAGCCATTCCAGAGGCGCAAAACAGGATCTTTGGAGCACAGTTTCCAGATTTCTGCCCTGAGCCTCCCTCGATTCAGGAGACAGAGATCTGGAACACCAGAGAAGGCAGAGTAGCGGAGAAGTGGCATCAGCAGAATTAGGAGGTGGGCAGGAGAGTGTACTAGATGCCTCTGAGTGTTTATCAGCAGAGTTACAACAGCTTTGTAACGCTTACCTGAGCAGGGCAGAGGCCAAAGGGCTGCATGGCTAAAAGGCTGAGGTGGAGAGAGACGTGCGTTTGGGTTGAAAAGAGGTGCTTTTGACTGAAGAATTGTATCCTGAGCATTTCTGATCCTAAATTGTAACCTATTAACTTCCCTAATAAAACCTATAACCATGAGTACTGTCTGAGTTTTCTGTGATCAGTGCAATGAATTATCAAACCCACAAGCAAAGCATAGAATGCTATGGGAGGAATGGCTGGTGTCAGATGGTGAAAAGAAGGAGGAGGCCTGCCTGGCCTTGCCTCATAGGAGTCAGTCTAAGGTTGATGTTAAAGGGAATTCTTCTTTCTCCCTCTCATGAACCTAGAAGAGGTCAGACGCCAACCCAACACCATTCTACACTCAGCCAAGTTTTAACACCAACAAATGGAGGACTTGTGTGTAATCTCTAAAATTAGGTATCTAGAAACTGTCCCTGTACTACAACTTTTTAATAAAGCATATTTTTAAAATCACACTTGTATATAATAGGGCAATTTACTTAATGGTAGTTTTTTAAAATACGAGCTGTAAGCATAAAACCACTTAATCAATAGTGCCATCCCTCAAAAACATTTTGGTACTTGTTATCTGAGACCTCTTTCAGACTGGTGTATAAGCTATCGTCTTTCTAATTCTTTACAAATGGACATTAAACTAAGAGAATGTCAATTTACTCCTAGGCAATAATTGTGAAATTAATGTGTTCAATGGCAAGATGCTTTTCGTTTCTACTGAGCATTCAAGTGATGGGTCTGCAACCAAAAATTTCTCTCTTTTTCTAGAATCCCATTCCAAAGCTGATTAACCAGATCAAATTCACTGGTAAAATATTCCTTAAGAAAAAATTGAGAGTTAATCAGAGATAGACTTTATATCACTGCAAACCATAATAATCAGTTTGTGGTCTTCTGTATCACCAAGCTTTCAGTATCACAAATTTAAAAAGCATGTTCTCGTTAGAAAAATGGAAACCTACCATCTTACGTAAACATAGAACTGGTTTCCTTGATCAGGAAGTTTAATAAACTCAGTTTATATAATGAAAAAAAATAAATCATTATGAATAAAAATAAAACTGGCATTTCTTCACATACCAACAAAATCAAGGTGGCAACAGGTAAGGTCATAACCGATCAAAGAAAAATGTAACAGTCATTAGATCAATAAGAAAATGCACATCTCCTATAAACAACAGTTAATGGCTATGATGATGTCTGGCCAAGTGAAATTACTAGGACCACTAAAGAAAAATGAAAAGGCAGAAAACGAAAATCTTTAGGGTCCAAAATTCAGACATTCTAAATTTGTATTCAACAGTCAGTAATATGTTCGTCTGCCTAAGAGAAGGCCAACCAGCCTAAGTGATGTCACTTCCCCTCCCCTCCTGATTCTAACCTCACCTGTAAGTCAGGAGGAAATGCTGTGCTTTTCATGTACAACAATTCTGCTACCTCTCAATGAGCCCACATTTCATTTATTATACACGAGTATCCCTCTCCTCTTCTACCCCACCTCCCACTTCCTTCTCCTTCCTTCCCTCCAAAGCATCCTGGTACTAAATTATCCTGACAACCATTATACCCCTCACAAAAAACATCCCCCCTGAGGAATGTGAGCAGTGCAGTGGTATTATTCCCGGGCCGAACCCCTACGGTGACAAGCACAGCACTCAGTGCATGTGCATCCTGCTATGCCCCCCACTGCCCAGTGTTTCATAGACCTCCCCATGAACCCTGTTTTCAGTGTGCAGACCTCCTGTGAAACATCACTTACTGTGCCGGGCACGTGGTGACTCCTGTCATGCTTGCCATTCTGAGAGGTGCTGTTTTTGAGTTTCTTCTTCTTTTTGGCTGTTTCTTTGTGCTCTTTCTGTTTGTTTTGCACTTCAATAAGAACAGAAATGAAGCTGTTTTTCACTTCCTTTTCAAACTCCAGTTCATCTCTCAGGGCCAACTGCTGCACCAGCTCTTCAGAGTAATCCTTAATGGTGGTCTCAATTTCTTCCAGGAGCTCATTTAACTCAGACACTGAGAGCCTTTTCACTCCTGCGACCAAACACAGAGCACAGCAGACACTAAGACAAAAACGCTTCAAGGGAGCACCACAGGCTGTTTTATGCCCAAGAGCAGAACTCATATTCTAAAGCAATTAAATTGACTGTTAGTGATCGTCTTAGATCCAAACACCTCTGGGGGCAGGTCTGAGTAGAGGTGGGTGGGGGCCAAGTCACTTCTCTAACGGCTGAGAAGAAAAGTCTAACAAAATTGTTTCCTGTCTAAATCAATCATTCATGAATAGTACTTTAGTCAAAACTGGAAACTTGTACAAGAACAAGAACAAACACAAAAGCAGGGGGAGAGTACAGAAACTACCTGCTGATAGGAAACTGCTAGCAATTGGATAGGGTTATGGCACACCTCTGAAGAGACAAAGAGCTAGACTCAGAGAATTAAAACAAATACATATTTAATCACGTGTCCTAAGGAGTGGATTTTTGTTCAAGATTGGGAAAATAAAAGAAGAAAATATCCCCCCTCAGACTCTATTTCAGCTTTTTCTCAGTACTTCCCCTCATGTGAAGAGTTCCCGGGTGGCACAAATGGTTAAGTGTTAATCACAAGATTGCGGTTCAAGTCCACCAAAAGGTGTGTGCGTCAGGAGAAAGGTCAGGTAAGGTAACCTAGTTTTTTTGTTTTTTGATACTTCAGCTAAGAAAGAGATGATTTATTGTACACATGTTCAGAATGGCATGGATCCAGGACAAAGGATCAAAACAAACTTAATTGGTACAGCAAGGTGGGTCTCAGGGGTTCACAGCATTCGTCGAAGGGTGATGGAAGTTCTAGATCCACTGAGCCAGAAGTTCTAGATAGTAGCACGTAGGCAACTTGTACCAGTGTCACGGCCTCCGGCATTCCATAGTCCCGCTGCTGTGGCTCCCGTTAAGTGCACACGTTAATGTTTACTGGGACTTCTGCCTCATCTTCCTTCTTTTGCGGTTCAGCCAGAGCATTTGTTTCTTCCTCCACTTGGCTCTCATGGCTTGGAGGCTTCTAACAAGATGGCATCAAGGCCGAGAGACACCAGGCAGCCTACTTTGGAAATGTCATTTTATCTTTTGTTGTTACGTGCCACCGTGTTGTTTCTGACTCACAGTGACCCTATATAGGTTCTTCAAGGAACAGCTGAAGAGTTTAAACTGCCGACCTTGTGGTTCAAACGGACCTTGCAATCCATTGCTTTAGCCCACAGAGCTACACCAGGACTAACTGTGCAAGATCACAGCCATTGAAAATATTATGGAGCACAATTCGACTTTGACTCATGTGGAATTTCCATCAGTCAGAAAGAATACAACTACAACTAGTTATGTTAACATTAAACCCATATCTACAGCAGTATGATCAAATCAGAACGCTCAGAAGAATTCAGTCCACCTTAACTTAGGTAAGTTGAAAGGAAGCTAGGCAAATCAAAGTGGAATTGGGATAACCTAAAGGGATTGCAGACCTCTGGTCATGTCACAGAGAAGAAACTAGAGACACAGGAGTTGAGCAGCTAAGGACCCCATCATTATCAATTCAAGAGAAGACCAGCCATATGTCAAAGATTAGATGCACACACAGTAACCAGCATATGGATTATCGAGGACTGGTTAGAGTTCTTCAGAAACCTTTCCTAATAAACAACTGCACGATTTTTAAGGTTCTTAATTCTCATGTACATCAAACAGCTCCATGGTTCATTTTAGGAGGAACCATGATGCTTCATAGTCACACAGAAGTCAACCAATTGTACAAAAAAGAATTCAACAGCACATTAGATTCACCCATTCAATATTTTCAACAAACAGCTAACCAGTGACTATGGAGTTAATGCCAATTCATGGTGGCCCCACATGAGTCAGAGCAGAACTGTGCTTCACAGGGGTTTCAGTGGCTGGTTTTTTCAGAGGTAGATCATCTGGCTTTTCTTCTGAGGCACCTGTGGATAAACCAAACCCTCTAAACCTTTTGGTTAGCAGCCAAGCTCATTAACTCTTTGCACCACATTGACACGACAAGTCATGGGCAACCCTATGCCCAACTGAATGAAACAGTGCCTGGTCCTGCACCATCCTCACAAACACTGTTACACTCAAGCCCATTTTTGCTGCCACTGTGTCAATTCACCCCACTGGGAGTCCTCCTCTTTTCCCATGACTTCCTTCCTACTAAACTAAGCACGATGTCACTTTCCAGAGACTGATTCTTCCTGATGACATGTCCAAAGGACATGAGACAAAGTCTCACTATCCTCACTTCCACAGAGCAATCTGGCTGTATTTCTTCCAGAATAAGTTTCTTAGTTCTTCTGTCAGTCCACAGCACTTTCAACATTCTTCCCCAACACCAGAATTCAAATGCATCAATTCTTCTCAAGCTTATCACATGTTTATGATGAACCAACTAAAAATACCATGACTCCTGACAGGCACATCCTCAAATGACATCTTAGCTCCGTCACATTTTAAAAAGATCTTTTGCAGCAGATGAGCCTAAGACAATACATCATTTGATTTCTTAACTGCTGCATCCATGACCATTGATTGTGGATCCAAGTAAAATGAAATTCTTGACAATGTCAAATTTTTCTCCATTTGTCATGTTATTTACTGACCCAGTTTTGAGGATTTTTCTTTACATGGAGTCATAATTCATACTGAAGGTTGTATTCCTTGATCTTCATAAGTGCTTCAAGTTCTCTTCCCTTTCAGTAAACAAGGTTGTGTCACCTGCATTATCACAGGTTGCTAATGAGCCTTCCCCCAAACCTGATGCTGTGTTTTTCTTCATAAAGTCCATTTTATCAGATTATGTGCTCAGCATATAGAATGGATAAGTACGGTGAAAGGATATAATCCCGGCACACACCTTTCCAGATTTAAAACAATGCAGTATCCCCTTGTTCTGTTTTAACAACTGCCTCTTGGTCTATGCACAAGCTGCTCAGGAGCACAACTAAGTGTTCTAGAATTCCATTAGTAAGGTTATTCATAGTTTGTTACGATGCACACAGCTGAAGGCCTCCGCATAACCAGCAAAATACAAGTACACATCTATCCAGTTTTCTCTACTTTCAACCAAGAGCCATCTGACATCAGCAATAATATCCCTAGTTCCACATCCTCTTCTGAATTCTGCTTGAATGTGTGGAAACGCTGCTTCGATGTACTGTTGCAAATATTTTAATTATCATCAATAATGATTTTACTTGCATGTGATATTAATGATACAGTTTGATGATTTCCACATTCCACTGGGTCACATCTCTTTGGAATGGGCACAAATATGGTTTTCTTCCAATTGGTTGTCCAGTTAACTATCTTCCATATTTCTTGGCCTAGATGAGGGTGCGCCTCCATTGCTTCTTCAGTTTCTTTGAAAGGTTTCAATTTGCATTCCTGCAATTCTTGAAGCCTTGTTTTTTGTCAGTACCTCCAGCGCACCTTGAACTTTTCTTCAGTATGACTGGCTCTTGATCATATGCTGCCTCGTGAAATGGTTGAACATCGACCATTTCTTTTTTAGTGTGGTGACTGTGTATACCTTCCATCTTCTTTTGATGCTTTCTGTATCATTCAATTATTTTGCCCATAGACTCCTTCAATATTACAAGTCAAGGCTTGAATTTTTTTCCTCTGTTCTTTCAGCATGAGAAGTGCTAAGCATGTTCTTCCCTTTTGGTTTTCTAAATTCAGGTCTGTACACATTGCATTATAACACTTGACTGACTTCTCAAGCTACCCTTTGAAATTTTCTGTTTAGCTCTTTTACCTCCTCTTTTCTTCCATGCGCTGTAACTTTACACTCAAGAGCAAGTTTTAGAACCTCTTCTGACATCCATTTTGATCTTTTCTTACTTTCTCATCTTTTTAATGACCTTTTGCTTTTTTCCTGTATGATGTTCCTGATGTCATCTCAAAACACTTCTAGTCTTCAGTCATTAAATCTGTTCTTGATATGGTCTCTAGATTTGATTGCCATATATTAAAGGTCCTATTTTGGCTCTGTGAACTTGTCTTAATTTTCTTCAGCTTCAGCCTAAACTTGCATATGAGCAATTGATGATCTGCTCTACAGTCTGCCCCTGACTTTTTTGTGGCTGATGACACTGAGCTTTTACACCATCTTTTCCCACAGATGTAGCCAATTTGATTCCTGTGTTTTCCACCTGGTGAGGTTCGCATGTAGCCACCTTTTATGCTGTTTTAAAAAGCTACCTAAATTCTATCATATGAATTCCTGCATCATTTCTACTACCTAGTCCATATTTTCCAACTACTCATCTTTTCTCTTTGTTTCCAAGTTTCACATTCCAAACATCAGTAATTATCAATGTATCTTGGTAACATATTTGATCAATTTCAGACTGAAAAAGTTGGTAGAATTCTTCAGTTTCATCATCACTGGCTTTAGTGGTTGGTACATAAATCTGAATCATAATGGTATTAACTGATCTTTGTTGGTGTTAAGTGCTATCGAGTCGATTCTGACTCATAGCAACACTGTACAGGGTTTCCGAGGAGCTGCTGGTGGTTTTAAACTGCTGACCTTGTGGTTCATAGTTTAGTACTGATCCTACAGTACCACTATTGCAGATAGTTCTTGAAATGTTCTTTTTGATGGTGGACGTGATGCCACTCACTCCTTTTCAATTTGACATTCCCAGCATAGTAACCCATACACCTGTCTGATTTAAAATGACCAATACCAGTCCATTTCAGCTCACTAGTACCTAGGACATAGATCTTTATGAGTTCCATTACATTCTTGACAACTTTGAATTTTCTTAGATTCACACTTCTCATATCCCATGTCCTGATTATTTATGGATGTTTTCAGATGCTTCTCTGCATTTTCAGTTGTGCCCCATCAGTAAATGAAAGTCCTGAAACCTTTACTCCATTCACACCATTGTGGACTCTGCTTCGAGGAAGCTCTTCCCCAGTTGTAATCTGAGTGCCTTCCAACCCGAGGGGTTCCCCTTCTGGTAATATATCTGACAATGTTCTTCTGCTAATGATAAATGTTTTCATCTTCCATCAGTATATCCGACAATGTTCCACTGCTAGTCATAGGTTTTCAGCGGCTACACATTTAGAAGTAGTACAACCTCTCCTTTCTTCTTAGTCTTTCTTAGTTTGGAAGCTCAGCTGAAACCTGTCTACTATGGGTGACCCTGCACGTTATTTAAAATA